TAATAAATGAATTTATGTAGGAGATATAATGCAGGTGCGGTTCGGGTCCAGTTTTTATGTCAAATGGGTTGGGTATGGGATTAAATTAGTGTTGCTGTCAGATAACGTGTCGGGTGTTCTGTTAATTACTTCAGTTGTGGGAAGATCATTTCACCAGCCAGGAAAGGTGAATGAAAATGCCTCTCTGTGATGTTACCACGTGGCATCGCTTACTTACAGATCTCAGACTCCTGGAGGGGATGTAGATTCGTAAAAGTGAGGAGGAAGTGGGAGGGTGCTGAGCCTGTGGCTGTTCTGCACGCAAACATCAATGTCTTGAACTTGATGCGAGCCGCAACAGGTAGCCAGCGCAGGGAGCTAAAGAGAGGTGTGAAGTGGGCCCTTTTGGGCTCATGGAAGACCAGTCGTGCCGCTGCATTCTGAATCATTTGTCGAGGTTTGATTGCCAATGATGGAAGTTCAGCCAGAAGAGCATTGCAATAGTCCAGCCTACAAATGACAAGGGCCTGGGCAAGAAGTTGTGCAGCATGATCTGTTTGGAAGGGCCTGATCCTCCTGATGTTGTGCAATGCAAACCTGCATGATCGAACAGTCTTTACCATATGGTCCTTGAAGGTCAGCTGGTCACCAAAGAATAATTCTTGATGAACCTAGCAGGATGATGAAATAATGCTGTAGAGTCGGAGTGGCAGGGAAAACGAGAAACTCAGTCTTTGCCAGGTTGAGCTGCAGGTGATGTTCCTTCATCCATGCCGAGATGTTTGCCAGGCAGCCTGAGATCCATGCAGCTGCTATTGGATTGTCTGGTTGAAATGAATGATAGAGCTGTGTGTCATCAGCATAGCAATGGTAGGAGAAACCATGTGCTTGTATAATGGGTCACAGTGATGTAGTGTATATGGTGAAGAGGAGGGATCCAAGAACTGATCCCCGAGGAAACCCCTGTGGCCAGTTGGTGTTCTTTGGATACCAAAAGTTCTATAGAGACCTACCTATGAGATAAGATTCAAACCAGTGGAGTGCAGATCCTGTGATGGTAAACAGGAGAATCTGATGATTCACAGTGTCAAAAGTGGCAAATAGATCCAGCAGAATAAGAACTGATGATTTGTAATCAGCTTTCACAATCTGCAGGGCTATATTGACTGATAGTAAAGCAGTCTCAGTTGAATGGCCGCTGCTGAAACCTGATTGGTTAATGTTCAGTTGGTCATTCTGTGAAATAAATAATGTAACTGTCTATAAAGGTGTGAACCACATGTTCCATTCCATTAGAATAACAAAGGAACAGAATTCCTCATGAACGTCTTGTAGATTGCAGGATCTCCTGAGGGAAGGTCCTAACAGTATTGTATCTAGCCCTTTTGTCTTTAGGTATAAAATTCTATCCCACAGACAGAACTTTGGGAGAAGCTAAGATTCTTACAAGGGTTAAGATTGTTTGAAGGATGGCATGCTAACATCGCTATTGAAGAACTGCTACATTACCATCTTCAATAAATTCTTCGCCCCACAAAAATTTTGGTCAAGCCTACTTCATTTTTTGTATTAGAGAAATCTAGTACATTGGTGAGCCACCCAAAATACTGCTCAGCAAAAATACAGTAAAGATGATGATACATGGTGCAACTTTTTAGGTTAGAAGTGGTATTATGCACTGGCCTGTCTAGAGAGATATTGTCTTGACAAGAAGTTAAAGTGGATCATAAAGTGTCAGTTGCTGTATTTACATCCAGAGATGAGAAATGGGTGGCTGAGGGAAGAGAGGACACTACAGAGGAAAGATGGAAGGGCTCAGTCAAGCCCAAGATACTAAGAGTAGACTGAGAAGCAATGGCCAGAATTAAGTTTGTTGACAGCTGACTGACAATTCCAGAGACCAACAGAAAATGACAGAGGTGCAGCAGAAGAGGTGCAGATAAGGACGTGGCTTAGCAAGATTGCATTGCCGTCTGCATGTGATGTTAGAGCATTGTTGAGAGAGAACAAGAATGTATTGGAAACATACTACCGCCTACCTGACTCTGCCTGAGAGGTGAGGAAAAATACACTTACTTGAGATTATATTTTTTTATATCTCTGATTGTATTCTTGAAAACAATCGTTTATTGTACTATTGAATAAAATATTAGTTAAGCTGGTGTGTGGTGGGCGTTCTGGCCCATATGGCTGCTGTCACATCATCCAGGTGAATGCTGCACACTGGTGTTGGTTGCGGGAATTCCCCCTTCCATGTAAAGCGCTTTGAGTACCCAGAAAAGTGCTATATAAATGTAACAAATTAATAATTAATTAAAACAATCTTTTATTGTACTATTGAATAAAATATTAGTTTATTATCAAAGAAAGAAAAAATTTACAGCCATAATATGGACTATTGTAAATGCTTAGATACTGTTATTTTCTTCTCACATTGCCAATTTCACCATTATCTCTTCACCTGAACAGTTTATGTATGCTGTATATGGTATCATTGTAATCCTTAACCATCAAAACATAGGGGTAGACATCACCTTTTCGGTGTTATCACATGGTTCAGGAGATATAACACAAAATACATAATTTGGTTATGGCGGAAAGTAAAATGGTCGCCCTGGCAACCACGAGGTGTATTTGCTATGGCTCCATTTCTGAAAATGTTCAGGGTAGGGGTGCACCAGCCATTCGTAAGTTCTTATTTAAATTAGAATGTTAAGTCCACACTAGAGGCTTAGTAACTACTAGCTAGTTTGTAACTAAATCTATACGTTATTTGGTTGTGTCAAAGGGTGATCTATACGCTATTTGGTTGCACCAGTTGTTTGTAAGGCAGGACATAGCAAGTAGTTTGTAAACTCTCTGTAAAGTAATGCGTAGTCGCATATGACGTTTACCCTAAATCATACAATAGAAACCTTCAAAT